TTGATTATATAGTCTATGAGCCAAATTGAACAAATTGTTCCTTTCTAGCTTGGGAAAGAGTTAATTTGTACCAGAAATGCTTGAAATCCAAGATGGCCGCTTCGGTGTTCATTTGTTAAGAAAAAACATGAAAATTGGCTTCTGAATGACTTAAAAATTTGCTGATATCAGAATTTGCACAGGCCATTTTTGACAAGGAGCAAGATACTGAAACTGCCTGCTCTTCTGAAATATTCTCCCTGTTAGAAATTTTCTCCTGCATTTAACTTTTAGCCACTTCTTTTCCCACAAATTTGTTTTTGAAAAAATTTTAAGAAGTCATTTTTTTTATTTTTTACTGGAGATGTGAATTAAAGAATGAGAAAGAAATTACAGAGAAACAATTCTTTAAATTTACCAAATATTAAGTAGAATAAAAATGTAAATGTGATAAATATAATGGAGTTAAAGGTTAATTTTAAATTACAAACATATTACATGAAAAAGAATAAAAGCTTGCTTACCTTGACTATCTTGATGGCTTTACATCAGTGGACTACAATCAAGTTTAAGCAAAAATGTCTTTGGTTAAAATTCTCAAAAGTCATAGCATCTTCAGCCTCAGAAAACTTAGGTCAGTGTCATTTAACTTGGATCCTGCTCTTTGTTCAGAAGCAAAAGGCAAATCAAAACAATTGCCAAATGTTCCTTTCAGTCAATGTCTATGTCAGTAGAAAGGGAAATGATTTCTTAAAGACAAAAATGAGATTTTTTTACCATTTTGAAGCACCGTCTTTAACACAGGAGACAATAAACCCATTTCATCAGATTCAGATGTTAATATACTGTTTTAGTCCACTGGCTGATTCTCCTCATGGGTTTTACCATAAAATTATCCTAAGTAAGAAATACTCACAGATGTATGTGTAAGTGCACTTTGCTGTACTCTTGTGCTCATTTGTGAGTTCAACGCCTTTGGATCTCTGGAGAATGTAGAACAGCGTTGATCACCAGTTAGCTGCATGCTTGTGTTAGGCATCAATGTTGCAGAAATGAGAAATCCACTTCCCCATTATACCAATGAGATAAATTATCCAAAAATACTACTCACTATATATCATGTAAATTAACTTTTCACATAGCAGTGGAGGGCAGCAGCGTACTAGGTAGTGCAAATTGTTCTATATAATTAGCCTTTGCCATTTGTAGCCAACAGTTGTTTTTCATGCTTAGCCTAACAGAAATGCCATTTTTATATGAAGATGTAAAAATCATATTCAAGACTCTCAATGAAATTGTGCATTAATTTTTTTCTCAGTGGCCAAAGAATTGGTTGTTAAATCTAAATTTCTAATTGTTATTAGTTAGTTTTGATGGACTATCACTGACCAACACTCGGTCAATGTGGGCAAAACAAATGGCTATGAAGTTGGGAACATTTTCTCATAATAAAAGCTGATTCCTAACTATTGTTCACATTTTTTTTTATTGGGAGCACACAAATTTTATGATTCAAGTGAGAAACAGATTGGTTAATAGAGAAAATAGCACAAATAGGATTGACTGTTGGTGTGCCTATTAATTCAAGGATTAATTACCCCACTTGGGTTGACGCACAGAGTAATAACATATGGTTAATTTGTGTATAACCACCCTTAGGTGTAGGAGTCTGCTACCAGTACGTTTAATTAATGGTTAGTTTATGAGTTGGAGGAAGGGGAAAACCTCTCCAAGAATGCCCCGGGTGAGGTCTTTGAAGGTGTGTTAACATCAGATCTCAGTTAGACAAGGAAAATGTGAACATCTTTCCAGGAATGCCATGTATGAGGTCTATGGAGTTGTGTTTACTTCAGATCTAAGTAAGACTGAGGAAAATGTGAATGTCTCTCCAAGAATGCTTTGGGTGAGTTCTATGAAGTTGTATTTACATCAGATTTTAGTTAGAATGGTAGAGGATTGTTAAAATCATATCTGAAGCTGGAAGAAATGAAAGTTTCTCTCAGAAAATGCCACAAGAAAAAAATTTAGGCTCCATTTTTTTTTTAAGTTTCCCTCTATAAGGAACCATACATAAATTTATTAGAATGTCACTTTTTAAGGGTGATGTTATTCATTAGCAAGGACACATGTCAGTGTTCACAATGTGAAAGGTTGAACCTTTCTGAAAACCCATTCTGCCCTTTTGGTAATGAACAAGATTAGCATCATTTCCTACTGCGGTGTCAAAACTATAAACAAGACAGAGCTGAACTTTTCTATACTGCCAAAAGTATCAATATCAATTTAGAACATGCACTGACAAGGGTGATTTGTATAAGTTGTTCCCTTCCAAAAATGCCACAGTAAAAATAAATTCTGAGATGGAATGCTGCTTTTCTGGTCTAAATTATAGGATATATAGGCTAAATCTTAACACTAGTTGACATTTATGTATTATACAAAAAAAAAAATCAACACAGCATAGATGTATTTGATGGCAATAAAATCTCACCATGTACATCAACTTGTACAGGGGGAAATGAGAGAAGTTCTTCAGAAATACCATTTTGTAGAACTCCAGGGGGCAAAGATATTAAGAGAAGAAAAGGAAACTGAAGACATGTTTACACCATGTCTTACTTAATAGACTGAGAAGAGGCAAATGGATTTTAGCAGGCTTTTAAGTGACTAGAGCCAATTTAAAGATACACGTATGGTAACTACATGCATTTGTAAGGATCAAGTTAGTGGTCTGTATAGGTTTTCACACCAGTAGGATGCAATTTATACTTATAACTTCAAGTATTTTTGGTACAATTGCAATTTTGATATGTGATGATTTTGATTCTCATATGTGTATATTTTTAACCCTCAAGAGACCAAGCTATTTTACTGACTGAAATGACCAAGTGGGGTCATCTATGACCCCATTGTGCTCTGTACAGGGATCCTTATTATAAAAAGGCTGTTGAGACTTTATCACACCCATACTACTCCCAGGATTTAAGACAAGTATTTTATAATGATCTAATGTAATAACTATTTGGTAATAATACTTTTATTGCNCAAATCATGTCTGAAGCTGGAAGAAATGAAAGTTTCTCTCAGGAAATGCCACAAGAAAAAAATTTAGGCTCCATTTTTTTTTTTTAAGTTTCCCTCTATAAGGAACCATACATAAATTTATTAGAATGTCACTTTTTAAGGGTGATGTTATTCATTAGCAAGGACACATGTCAGTGTTCACAATGTGAAAGGTTGAACCTTTCTGAAAACCCATTCTGCCCTTTTGGTAATGAACAAGATTAGCATCATTTCCTACTGCGGTGTCAAAACTATAAACAAGACAGAGCTGAACTTTTCTATGCTGCCAAAAGTATCAATATCAATTTAGAACATGCACTGACAAGGGTGATTTGTATAAGTTGTTCCCTTCCAAAAATGCCACAGTAAAAATAAATTCTGAGATGGAATGCTGCTTTTCTGGTCTAAATTATAGGATATATAGGCTAAATCTTAACACTAGTTGACATTTATGTATTATACAAAAAAAAATCAACACAGCATAGATGTATTTGATGGCAATAAAATCTCACCATGTACATCAACTTGTACAGGGGGAAATGAGAGAAGTTCTTCAGAAATACCATTTTGTAGAACTCCAGGGGGCAAAGATATTAAGAGAAGAAAAGGAAACTGAAGACATGTTTACACCATGTCTTACTTAATAGACTGAGAAGAGGCAAATGGATTTTAGCAGGCTTTTAAGTGACTAGAGCCAATTTAAAGATACACGTATGGTAACTACATGCATTTGTAAGAATCAAGTTAGTGGTCTGTATAGGTTTTCACACCAGTAGGATGCAATTTATACTTATAACTTCAAGTATTTTTGGTACAATTGCAATTTTGATATGTGATGATTTTGATTCTCATATGTGTATATTTTTAATATGGATCTAATTTTTATATACTATGACTGTGAAAATCAACTTTTTTATTTTTTAATAAATAAACAATTACTATTCAAAATTAATGTTGAATTGCAATGTAGAAGAAAAGTTAAGATAAACTTTTGGACTTAATTTCTTTTAGCATGTTTCAGGTCCTAGACTGTCACCAGGCAGAAAATGATTTAATGTACGTCTGCTCTCTGCAAAAATCAGTGACAGAGTTAATGAAGTAGCCAATGGGTGTGCAAAAATAAAGTGTGTGTGCTTAACACTACTAAATTATTGATAAGCTACTAAATTATTGATAAGCTACTAGATTATTGATAAGCTTGGTAATAAATATCATAGCAAGTAAGGACATGGAAACATACTTGCTGTCAGTCTTCCAAATGTGGTGCCATCTAGTGATCAAGGCAGGTTGAGTATGCCTGCAACAGTCTCAAAAAGAGTCATTTTTTCAGCAGCTTTTTAAACTGAATATCCCAATATTCCCAGTATTTCAGTGATAATATGTATTGACAAGCTTCATTTTAGACATCAACTTATTTATTTTGTTTATCTGATATCCCAACTTTCCCAATATTTCAGTGATAATGAATTAATTTAGATGTCATACATGTGGCAGAGAAGGCCATGAGAGTAATTTCACACTTGTCAACACGCCACTAACTGGTGCTCAAGTTGTGATCAGAACATACTGATAGTCATCACCAGTGTCTGGAAGCTCTTTTATTTTTATTTTTTATTTAAAAACAATGGATCCTTCTGGGGTCTTTATTACTTCTTGATAATAATTCATTGTACCTGATTACCTGTTGGGAGAGGAGGCAGGTAGAAAAAGGTTGGCAATTTTATCGGTCCTTAGCCATTTGGTACATTGGTTCGACAGTAGAAAACAGGGAAAAAATCTTAAATGGTCCACTTAAAAAAAAAAGGAAAAAGACCCTGTCCCTCCCTCCTAACTTGCTGGCTGTAGAACTGATCTGTGTTTGTGTTGAAATTAGTGTCATTCAAATGTATTTCTACCAAAACTTCAAAGTATCATAGTTTCATGGTAAGCACACCATAATATGTCTATTCCTCTTCCAGCAGTCACTATGGAGCACGGCACAGGCACAGTGGACGGGGGACGGCCAGTCAATGTGGAGTTCCACACCCACACTGTCAGCTACGCAGAGAAATTGTTGCTCAAGAAGCACAGGAGGACTGAACTGGGTGAGATGCCCCCTCTTGAACTGTCCAATATATCACCAAGGCAACAGCCAGTAAAACAGTCACCAAGGATAGAGCAAATGTATACCGAGGATATAGAGGATGAAGGTTATTATTCACTTATTTTATGTTACTTATTCAGTAGAATAAGCCGTATGTTCTTGTAAAATATTTTTGGAGGCATTTTGTTCTTAGTCATCAGTGGTATCATGTTAATTGTATATTAGAAAATGACTATATTTGTGTTTTTAAAATATTATTAACTTTATTTTATTATTTAAAGAGCCTGTGAGAGAGGTAAATTTTAAATTTATGAATATTTTTATCTGTATGTGTATGTATGTATGATAAGGTTATTTAGGTGTAAAGCTGAGGGACTGTGGAAGTATTCTATTCACACATACTTGAATGAAGTCAAAAGCTGAAGATGTGCTGGCATGCATTAGGGACTCAGTCAAGTAATCAAAGTCCTTAGGTGAAGTTACTGTACTTTTTTACATAAATTATATACATAAATTTTAGATATATTTATACGTTGGTTAAATAATCACTTATCCCATACTGGTGTTCTTTACTGTAGAGATAAATCAAGGGGATCGTGTCAACTTCCAAGCCTTGTTTGATGCTGTGAAACCATTTGCCAAAGAGCCAACTTCCAGGCCTGCGTCCAGAGTTTCCATTAGTGATGTCAGCAATATGCCAGTAAGTAATGCTTCTTAGTGTAATGGTACTGTACATCCACAATGAATCTATTGTACCAACTAGTACGCACTAAATTCACTGGGACTCTTGCTGAATGCAATCAGATTAACAAACCTCCTGGCATTGAGTAGAATACAGAAAAGCTGGAGATTGCTGAAAACATGAGAAGAGGTCATCTGATTGCATTCATTAGAGATTGTGCAGACAAAGTAGTACAATAGATTCTTTGTGAACACACCCTAACACCCCATTTCCATAGATTTTTAGATCGATGTATTCCTGTGGGGAGTCTCACTAGATTACTGTCAGCTTGGCCGGCTTAAGCGTCTGTCCCGCCTACTGAAAGCTGTAAGGGGGTTATTAACTATGGTGCCCGCTCGGCTGACTGCAATTTAGCGTGAACCCCCAGGGAGTTAGGTCGATCTAAATCTTAATCTTTAGATCGATCTAAATCTCTGGGAAAGCACCCTAAGAAGATTATGAAAAGCATACAATGCATGTTTGACCTTTATATACCAGTACATTGTAGTAACAAAGCGTTGGAAATTGTAGTATTTTTTTCTTAATCACCAATTCTCCCTTTATCCATATACTAGTACTCCATAATGTGTTAACAGTTTGGATTGTAGTTCTGGTAGCCAGTTGTTGACTTGATCATACAGAGTATCTACAAAATATCATATGACAATTTTTTAGAATAATATTATAAAACTAATCATGGAAGTAGGTGAATCAAATATGTAATATTCAAATCCACCCACCACTTTGTCTCAGACCACAGAAATATGTTAAAGATTCACAAAGATGTATGACATCTATGGATAATGGTCACTGTGGTATTTTTTTTTCTTCAGATGAACTCCACAGTGGATCAGAGTTCTCATTTTGATGTCCAGGAGGTAGATCCTCCAGAAGCAGCAACTAGCAGTGGTGCCAACTCTATCAGTCAAAAACCAAGACAAAAATCTACGCTTTCAGCCAAATCTAAGTCACGCCCTCAGTCAAAAACATCCCCAGTTAAAGACAAAGAAAATTCAGCCATTAAGGTCAGAGGTCAACAGAGAGAGGGCAGCACTGTTCAAGATGAGCCCAATCCTGCAGGAAGTAGGGTTAGTAGTGCATGGGTCAAGGAAGGAAGAGATGGGACAAATGTTGACCAAAAGAGACAGAAAACTGCAGGTAGTAAGAGAACATTCTCTGACCTTGAGGTCAACTCAAGGCCATCTAGCAGTGCCAAGGTCAAAGGAAAGGTTAGCGAGAGACCAAAATCTCGAGCCGAAAGGGCAAAGAGTGCACTACAAAGAAGACCACCCTCTGCAACAGGTAACAGAGTACCTTCACAGATGTCAGACCATGGGTAAGTGAAGTATCTTTTTGTTTGTTTGTTTTCTGTTTGTAGATGTAATTTTTGAGTTTCTCTCATGATGAAGATTGAAAGTATTAATTTTCACTCTTTTTAATAAATATTAACAGAGGGTCTTTAAAGTATTGTGTATCTTAACTGGTGATTGATAGAAAAAAATTCAGAAAAAAAATATTTCAACAAAGTTTAATGCTCATTGGGTGCCTGTCATGTTTTGAACCAATATCACAGTGGCACATCTTTATTTCTCTCTCTCTCTCTCTCCTTCAGGGATGGAGGACTGACCAAAGCCCCCTCGGACACTCTAAGGCAGATAGCCAGGCTGGGGGAGATGTACCAGGAACCTGCTTACGACAGCTCTATTGCAGCCTTCTTTACTGCTGGTGTCCCTGCTCCAAAAGAGCCGTTCAAAGAAAAAGTGATCATCCCGTCAAAGGATAAGAAGAATCTCTCGGAAAAGAGGCCTGGATCTGCAGCCTCATCGAGACTACAGTCCGCCAAAGTTAGCAATAGATGTGAGTGTTGATGTGGATGTGTTTTGTGTGATACCTTATGTGGTAGCACATCTTTTTAAAACATTTTTTATTGATTATTGTCTTTAAACTTAAAGGGATAATAACTCTTCGTATGAGATCTACATTTCCCAATAAAAACATTGTGAATAACTCATAGAAATATAATATATTCTGTTTTACCACAAAAACGGCAGTTATAGCTATTATTCTGATATCGGAGCTTGTCTTAAGACCACGTGACCTCCATTGATGGCTATACTCTGTTAAAATCTCTTAAGAGATTTTAACAAAAAACCAAACTTTTTAGAAAAAAACCAGGGACTAACTCTGAATGTAAAAATGGATTTATTAACCATTGGTAAGTATGGGAAAATTGTTGTTTACTCCAGGAAAATTCATTTTTTGGCCAAAACGAAGAGTTATTATCCCTTTAAAGACATGTTCTTATCATTTGATGAATTTTAATTTTTTAGGAAATTGTATTATATACCTGTAAAGTGTATTGAAATATAAGAACTTATTTTTATAAAGTATAATTTTATAAAATTGTTTAAAACTGAAATGAAGTATTTTTGTTGTGGAAAAATATTATATTATATTATATTATATTATATTATATTATATTATATTATATTATATTATATTATATTATATTATATTATATTATATTATAACATATAAAGTAATGAAATAAATGTAATAGACTTCACATAATCTAAGATCCCCAGTACATTTTAATATTTCAAATCTTCAATGTATTTTCAGTATACCAGATGGCGCCCAGATCATGGCGTCCTGACAGCAGTTTAGGAGACAACGTCCCTGATGAGGATGTCAAGAAATATGTCCTGGAGTTTGACAGCAGTAAATATTTGCAAGATCCCATTGAACCTGAAGTGGAAACGGTTTCTTTTTCACTCAGTTCAACACCAGTAGATGGAGCTAGTGTGCAGTAAGTAAAACCGCGAAAACGTATAAAGTGAAAGAATGTAGTTTGTCATTGAGATTGAGACAAGTATTTTGGTCAAGTCATCAGATTCTAGATGTAACATTTCATTTTTGTTGTATCATATTTCTTCATTTCTTTTAAGTTATTAATAAATTTATCGCTATTTTTAATCTTTATTTCTATTTATTATTTTTTTCTTTTTGTAATTTTAAAAAATGTACTGATTCTAAATAAAAATTCACTAGTTTTCAGTCATTTTTAGAATAGTGATTGAATAAATTTATAAGTAGACACAGCTCTTATAAAATGAATTATTGTCATATGAATACTGGTATAAAAATGATCCAAGTCTCTTTTACATTTCTAGACACTCCTCGGTAAGGAAGGAAGGCAGCAGCCAAAGACAGGTCCCCACCGTGTCCTCAGCTACAAGAAGTTTATCACAGCTAGGCAGAAGAAGTAAAACCTCAATAGATATTGACACGAAGAGACAGAAAACACCTGTTTCTAGACCTCAGACAGCTAGCGGGAGAGTGTCTAGAGCTATTGGTGAGTTTGAGAAAGGAATTAGATTTCTTCTTACATGGGGTGGTTTGCTTAACTGGACCAGTCAACGTAGAGAGAAGACATGTTTACAGTTAATAAGCAGAAAACAAAGAATTTTGTTTTTAGACAAGAAATGTGTTAGTTTTATTTTTATCATTATTTCATATATGTAAGGTATCTTGTCCAGGTGTCATACAGTGACAGACTGTATGGTATATCTGTCAGCCTTGCTGTCTAGTTTTTATATATGGATAAAATGTCACACAAGTTCTTTACTCAATTGTGTTCTGTTCAGTTATATTTCCCAGTGGTAGATGGAGATGACTTCTCCAGGTATGACACAGTGAAAAAAAACTGGTTGGTGTCTGTTTATTTGCAAGCTTTGCTGTCTAGTTTTATATAACCTTGTTTACAAAATATTATGCAAGTTTTTAACCTGGCTGTGTTCTGTATTTCCCAGTGGTAGATGGAGATGACCTGTCCAGGTATGACACAGTGGCAGAGAGTATGGAACAGAGTGCGGAAGACACGGAGACTCTTGGACAGCTGGAGTGGGAGCTGGCATCACAGGAGGGGAGACTTACAGGTGTGTATGTGTGTGTATGTGTGAGTGTGTGTGTGCAAGAAAGAAAAATAGAGAATGTTTGTGCGTGTGTGTTTGTGTATATGTGTGTGTGTGTGTATGTGCAAAAGGAAAAAATTGAAAGAATGTGTGTTTGTATGTGTGCGAGAAAAAGAGTGCGGGAGAGTGTTTGAATGTGCATGCATGTGTGTGTATGTGTGTGTCCGTGCAGGAATGCCTGCATGTCTGTATGTATTTTTCCCATGGAAATGATCATGAGAAAAGATAGTTAGATGTAAATCTCTGGAAATTTCACTTGTTATTTCAACATACACATGTAATACCTAACATATTAAGCTATTTCAATATACCAGGTACACATATAATACCTAGCAGAAATTTCATACTTTTTGTTAATTGTAATAATTCAGAGGATGGGAAGGTGTCAAGGATGAGCCTGCTGGATGAGGAGATGGATGTTGGTGATGGGGGTGATGACCAGGACATCCAGGGACGGCTGTCAGCGCTCAGTAACCATGGCGATGGCTATGACATCAGCAGAGAACTGAGGTATTGAAAAATATTTGTCAGGGCTAAGATTCATCCTAAAGCATATTTATATTTTCCAAGCCCAAAGATCAATGAATATTTAGTTGTATTCAAGGAAAATCTTTATGAATCTTTTGGCTAGCCAGATTTTACCAATTTACCTCTAGGTGGTATTGTAAATGTTTTGTTTATGTACAAATTAGACTGGGTTCCCATAATTCTATCATACTAGCAGGATTGATCTTACTCCGGGAGGATTCTTGCTAAATTTCGTTCAGTTTAAGGGTCTTGAATGTCTGTCACACACACTGAACCTGCTAGGGGAGGTAATTACTATTGTGCATGCTTAAACTAAATGCAATTTTGAGTTCAGAGTCACTTTTAAAATGGAGACAGAGACTAGTAAATATCATTCGTGACAGTAAAAATGTAAAGCTTGTTACTAGTATATTGATGTACATCCTGATTTAACAAAAACTGTCAATTTTTAAACTCCAGAGAGGAGGAGCTGATGGATGACTTTGAGGAAATGGAGAGGACAATAATGGCAGAGGAGGAAGTGAAAGCTCTCACATAGATGTTTGGGAGAAACTCTCCGAGGGACTGCCTCATTTTAAAACAATCTGCCTCAGTCTGAGACAATATAGATTTGGCATCAGAAAAGTTAAAGAAGTTGTAAAAGAAGTTTTTTTTAAGATACTAGTCCAATCGTACTAGTGGATAATTTAGAAATTATTTTAGATTGTTGCTTTTTTATTATATATTGTTATATTCAAAAGAGTGAATTTTGATTTCAACTAGTTGTTGAAGACCTTCTAGGCAGTGTGGCTGGTGCAGTGATGAGTTTGAGACACACTGTTGAATTGCAAATATTAACATTATACAATGGTTCTTTTGATTGAGTTACTCATTCAGGAAGATGTGTTTCATACCAAATATGATAAGTGATATAGATAATTGAAAAGTACAATTGTAGATGTTCACGGTTGTTGTCCGTTTGGTTCTACTGTAAGTACCTTTATTGTCTCTTCTATTTTAAGCATCACAGAGAAATGACCGCTTCCCTATTGAATTATCGAGTGTCTTATATAAGTTTTTAGATCCGTAAATAGTAAAAAAATATTTGAATAGATGAACATTTTAATGTTCATAAAAATCTTTAGGATAATAACCTGGTACAACTGCATCACATTTACTGTATATTATGTGAAGATCAAATCAAAAAATGTTACGAACCAAAAATATTACTGCAACTTTTGGTCTTTTGACTCATTTCCAAACATTATTTTATTATAAAGTGGGGGAAAAAACAAATATCCTTTGCAATGCTGTATACATACATTTATGAGAATAAAATATGGCAGTTAATTAGATCATTTCAATACTGGTGTATCGAATAAATTAATACTAATTGAAATTGTACTACATAGCCATACTTAAAATTAGATGATGAAGTTGGGGGCGTCTCGATAGTCCGAAGGTTCTATAGTGAATATTCGGACCAATGAACCTTCGGACTATTGAACCTTCGGACTATTGCTACGGCCCCATGAAGTTATGCCAGTAAACAAAAAGAAGTGGCAATCAAATATTGGTAGCTGAGAGATATATTAATGATTATATTAGTTTGACAGCTGTGGAGGAAAGTATATAGGAGTTAAATTTAAAATGTCTTGGGTGTTTCTCTGCATTATTTAAAGATTCAGACATTCCAAAACCTAGCTTCTTCAGGTTAAATGACAGCTGTCATGTATTAAATTTGTACTTACAATTAATATTTACTTTATGTTACAATACCTAATGTTTGACTGCCAAATATTTAAGTTATATTTTTTTCTTTTTGTAAGAAAAATCTATTTCGGACATAGTTTTTTAAGCTCAATGTTTAACATGATAATCTATATGATCTAAGATTGATAAGTAAAAAATTGAAAGTGTTGTAGTTATTGTGATACTAGTAGATCTTGAATATTTTGTTGAACTTTTCACTAAATATTCATGGACAACTTTATTTTAATTTTGATGTTTATTGTATTGGAAGTGCTTGTAATATCCGTCCCGAATTATTTTTATTAAGTGTTAGTGCTTTTTTTTTCTTTGTAATTTTACCATGGCAGACCCGTCCAGTTGTGGGAAAAGAACCTACTTGTAAAAGTGTTGAATTTTTAAAAATTAAGTGAAATATTTTGCATACAAGCAAAAGATTGAACTGAATTACAACTCCTAAAACTCGTTTTTGAGTTTTATGTTTATTATTTTTGCCCATTCCGGTTACATTCATTTTTTCATAAAGATTTCTTGATGTGTTTTATTTGAATAAGATGAAATAAAAAACATTATGAATTTGAATATTTGTATATTTAGACTTTTTTGTTTTTTCCCTATGGAAAAAAATGGATTGAAAAGGCATGCTGTGCTAGTAAGGGATGAAGCTATGTCTATGTTTATTATCTGTTTAAATAAGCGTCTTTGAAAAACCCTTTCATATCAGCAAAATTTGATCACTTGCACATACATTTTTCATTCCGGTTCCACAAAAAACTGATTCATTTGTGACATTTAAAGTGTGATTCTAGGAAATTGAACACAATATTGAATAAAATATATGGCAAAATATTCATTAATGACATGAATTATGTGATATGAGTTGGTCACATACTGTGCATGAATGTGTAGTGCATGTGCTTATAGTTGGCAGTGTACTGGCTACTGCACATAAACATTTGGATATTTTGAGAAAAAAATTCTTATCACAGATCTGACATTTAAATGATTCTTCTCCAGTGTGAGATTGTTCGTGTTGTAAACAATTCCATTTACTACTGAATATCTTCTCACAATGCTGGCATATGAATTTCACTGTATTTTCTTCGGTGTGGGTCATTTCATGCTTGCTTGCGACTGTATCTCTTTTCACAGTGCTGACACTGAAACTTTTCCCCAGTGTGTACCCTCTCACGAAGTTTGCATCTAAATTTTGTAATAAATTTCTTTTCGCAGAACTGGCATTTAAATTTTTTTTTCCTGTGTGAACCATTTCATGCAGCACATATTCTTGTTTTTTAGAGAACCTCTTTTCGCAGTACTGACAATAAAATGGTTTTTCTCCAGTATGTGTCATGTGATGCTGTTTACAATCTTTTCTTGCATAAAATCTCTTTTCACAGTGATGACATTTGAATGGTTGTTCTCCAGTGTGAGTCCTCTCGTGGTTATTACAATTATGTCTTGTAGTGAATTTTTTCTCACAGTTCTGGCATTTGACTCTTTTTTTTTCTCTTCTGTGAGCCCTTTCACGGATCAATCTTTGGTCTCCTTCATTTGATTGTCTGTCATTGCTCTGGCTTTTATGTGGATTATTTCCATCTGTAGCACGACTGCAACTGTCAGCGCATTTTTTGTCACAATACTGGCAACTGCTCATCTTCTGTTCCTGCCCCTCCATGACAGCCGTTCCTTCAGATTCACCTCTAAATAAAATCAAAATACCGTCTTCCCACTGTATCAAATTATTATAAGGGTTTATTGCTTATAATTGGCACATACCAGTGTGGGCTACATAGATATATTATGTCATGGACATAAACCCTATAAATGCCAAACGCCTGAGCCTGACTTAAGGCGGCTGATACTGTATGAATGGATCGGAGTCTCGACCTCTAATAACGTCAGTGATCATCTTATGATTTCCAACTTGTATTAAAACAGTAAGGGTGTATTCCCAGAGATTTAGATCGATCCAGGGATTAAGATTTAGATCGACCTAACTCCCTGGGGGTTCACGCTAAATTGCAGTCAGCCGAGTGCGCACCATAGTCAGGCCCGTAGCCAGGGGGGGTTCGGGGGGGTTCGAAAGAACCCCCCTTTTTGCTGGAAAAAGGTCCACTAAATTTGACCTAGGTACATGGGGATTATATGGTAAAAGGTCCACTTTTTCAGGAAAAGAACCCCCCCCCCCCCCTTTGGAATTGCTGGCTACGGGCCTGATAGTTAATTACCCCCTTACAGCTTTCAGCAGGCGGGACAGACGCTTAAGCCGGCTAAGCTGGCAGTAATCAAGTGAGACTCCCCACAGGGATAGATCGATCTAAAACCTATGGAAATGGGGTCTAACAGTCAGCTGGTGTTTCTCACTACGCCAGGTTGCATGGTACTCACCACTTTACCTAATATAGAAGGCCTCAGGCTAAGTTTAACAAAAACTTTGAAAAACTAAACTCTTCCGATACTTATGATTTTTATGTTTTAGGCCTAATTTTGTTTCTTGAGACAGAAATAGTTACACAGAGGCGGATCCAGGATTATTTGAAGGGGGGATCCTCAGATGCGAAGCCGACCTCCCACCCCTACTCCCACCTCACCCTTGGTATTTCATAGGTTTAGAACTCTATAATTCAGCTAGTCAAAATTCTCATTTCAAGAGAGGACCATCAGTGTGATTTTTTTCAGGACCCCCCCCCCCCCCCCCATATCTGCCACTGTATATTCAGTACATGCTTGGACATAATCTTTACTAGAAGATGTCTCAGTGGTGTACAAGCATATGCAAATATTTCCGCTGGACAAAGTACAGAAAAGTACACAAAATTAGCCAGATACATATCTGTGAATATTAGGCCTATGTGAAAAAAGTAAAATATGGCTCCGGCGGGTTGTACAGAGTAGCTTAGACGCACCTGTATATTCAAGTATTGATTTGGTGGTGTTCAAACAGAAAACCGAATTAAAGTGAGTAAACCCTTGTGACATGTGACACTTTTGTTATTGTCTCCGTGGCTTATAGATACACTGTATGTAAAAGACTGAGCCGGATATTCAAGTCAAATACCATATAGGCCTACCTACTATATAAATATAATAACCAAGTAAGCAAGAGAAGAGTTATTCAATAGAAGAAGAAGAAGAAGAAAGAAAGAAGGAAGGAAAGTGAGCGGTTCGACACAAGTATGGGTCAGTTATTTATTCGGGACAAGTTCATTATGGTCTAAGCAAGGAGTTTTATACATATGTGCAGAAAATAGCTAGGACTTCTGCGAGGCTTTCTGGTCAGAACTTGAATTACTTGTAAAAGTGCCGGTTTAAAAATGCCCTAAAGTCGTATCTTTATCTTGCAAAGTTTGTCTTTCTATTCAGACCTTTTGAAAAAAGGATAAACCTCTTTTATGAAAGATTATCTGAAGCTTACCAAAATTTAATCCCACAAAGAGGACGAGATACCTGTAAAATACATCCGATCGGGCATTATGGGCCAAAGTGAATTTTCGTCGAGAATATCACAGCCTGACCTGTCTCTGCACTTGGATTCTAATTTTAAAAGCTTAAAAGCAGGAAATGTCTATATCCCCCCCCCCCCCCCATGCAATGTATTACATAAAATAATCTGTTTTCTTCGCCATAGTTGCACGTGTCACAAAAAAATCATTCAACAAACCTGAATGAAAAAAATGAACTAGTAAAAGGTGCAAAATGTTGTTCCCTACATGGCGGACACAGATTTTTTTCTTATCAGCACACACATACACACATACACACACACACACACGGAGAGAGAGAGAGAGAGATTAATAAAAATGTCAACCATTAAATTCACTGCTAAGACAGCTTCCCAAGTCTGCATGTACATGTATATGCTTCCCGTTATAGCAATTTATGCCCGAAAGATATTATTATTATTATTATTATTATTATTATTATTATTATTATTATTATTATTAACTTGCTTCACTACAGATTAATTGAAATATTCGTCTCTGTGGCACAGCTAGGAAAGCTTTAGGACGTGGTACAGTGTTTCACCAGGGGGCGGATCCAGGATTCTAATTTCAAGAGGGAAATATTGATGTAATATATTTTTCAGAAACCGAAGGGGGGGGGGGGGGTCAGGACCCCCCTGACTCCTCTCTAAATCCGCCACTGTTCACTGCAAGTACACCTGTAAGAAAATGAAAAAGGTAAATAAAGATGAATAATCAGATTAGCGAGCAATGAATGGGTAAATGGATGCTCAGACAAATCGATTGATAAAATATTTAATAAACAACAACATTAATAAAGCAGTTAATTAAGCTGAAAATTCTTCACGAAATATAATCCACGGTAAATACTGCACCCCCGAGTTTGTATAGGAGGGGGTCATATTTGTGGTGGGTATTGTGGGTATCTCTTTACATTCCCTTAAGCAGAAGTTAGAAAATTGTTTGTACACTGGACCCAAGCATACAGGGGTATAGTGTTAACCCCAATACAACACAACCAGCGGGTCAATAAGTTAAGTGGTAGTTAATAGAGGAAGAAGCGGTGTGTAGTCATTGTGTATTTCATTGAACACACAGGTTAATATACAGGTGACTCGTGGTGTACAGGATATATGACAGTGATTTGACCGCTCAGGCGCTGATCGAGAGAATGCATGGACGCTTGGTAGAGTGGGGGAGAGTCGTCTTGTACATGTAACGGCTGTAGGTTGCGGTCTAACCATAACCAGGGCCGCAGTTATTTTGTGGACAGTTTTGCTGAGGCACAGAACAGAGAATAGTCATCTATTTAACCGGAGACATATATCTGTTAATATCTAGTGAAAAATCAATCTGTAGCCCTGGTAGAGGGTAGTTGCGGTCCCTGGTCCATATTGGGAGGAGGACTAAGAAGTGGAATGCGTTCAAAGTTAGTCAGTGGCGTGAATGGACGAGGTGGTCAGATTTGAAAGATAGGCTAGGAGTTAATTGATTTGGAAAACATCCCATTTGATGATTCGGTTGCTTTATTAATAAGCATTGAGATTTGCTTTGGGTGGATTAGTGTACTTGCGAATACTTTTAAAGATGGGGCGATTTTAGCATGTGAAGATGTATGTAGATATACCGCGCTGACAGTGAATTATATAGACATTTATACGACTCTTTCCAAATATATATTTAAAAAAAAAACAGATTCAAATTGACTGGTTTGTTCATTAAAGGTACATGTACTCTTTACATGATTTGCCTGCCAAAATCAATTTCCTTCGGGGTAAAAAGCGATTTTCTCCTACCGTCCCTGTAGTTGAATTCGATGTTTTATTTCATTTCTAATTTAATGGTCACGATTCAGTTCTACATGACTGAGTGGCCAGTCTTCCTGGTACATTTTAGAAGGTACTCTGGAAGTCAGGTACTTTTATTTGAAGGGTTTATAGATTTTAAAGATCTGAATTAGGAAATTTAAGTAGGTTTGTAGGATATGTAGACAGAGAAAACAGTGTTTTGGATTATTTTCAAACGCGCTGGATATGCCTTTATTAGCCATTGATCGTTTCTTCTTTTAGCCTGTGACTCTTTGGGAGATCGAATAACCGCCCACAGTGTGGATTTCATCATTTTTTCAATGTGACGCTATAAGCAAGAAGAGAGGACACCATCGGGAAGGAAGTTTGAGGCCTTTTTAAAACGAGCGCCTGGACAAGTATTTGGCTATAATAAGAGGACCAGGATTTCTGTGGTACCCGTTTAATCTGCAAATATATTGGCAAGCTCTTTGGGTGGATCGCTAAAACACCTATGAAGTGACCCCTTAAGTGCCCAAAGGGCGTCCACTGTATTATGTAATCAACTTAACTTCCCAAAAGCATCATTAACTACTTCGTTCGCGACACGCCTTTCATTGTGCGTTTTGTGAACACCTTTTGAAAATCTCCAGTCTATGAATTGATTACAACTATCGCTGATACACAGGCAAACGCCATTGTCCAAGCACGCCTTTTCTTCTGCGGATTCACTGAAATAGCGTTACCGCACGGGTGTAGAATTTCTCATATACACTGCAGTTGACTACGAAACCTGAGATGCTCAAAGATGTGGTGATTGAAAAGACGTGCTGGTATCCAATAATTACCTGCGACAGGATGACAATTTTTCACTGAACTGTACAATTAACTAACCCGTCAATGCTGGAGGTAAACGCGCCGTCACCTGCAAAGATCCGCAACAACGTTAAGGGAGGGGAAGTAAGAAGGGGATAACGGCACCACGTTGAGAGCTACCCGGATGTTTAGAGCACCGCCAGAATGATTTACGAAAATCAATGATTCCAGTGAGTTTAATCCACAGATACAATTTAACTAAGATGTGGGGATAAAATATACAGACAGCGTTGAGAGAAGATAAACTAACATTGGAAAATCTACGAATCCACCGGATAATGTGAACTTTTCGCTTTTAAAAAATCAATTTATTCGCTATTTTAACTGATAAATTACCAACATGGATTCAGTCAATGTCTCCCGACGCGGAACGAGAGTGTCACAAAACTGCATGTTTATCGTTGTGTACTGTCTTCTGGGGGTCCAGTTACTTCTGACCATGCTGTACTTATCTCGCCCATCGGAAGTACAGCTACAGAAGAACCCACCTTGTATCTGCAAGAACATCAACTCGCGAGTTGGTTTCGATTACGAGGACAACCAGAGTGTGTTGAAAGCCAGGAAAAAGTTGGAGGAAGACTGCCAAGAACATCCCAATACTTTAGGTGAGAGATGAAACTGAGACAAGACGGAAGAGGGGGTGATTTTCATTAGCTATGTGTTTTTAATAAACAAATAAATTTACATTTGTTAAAATCTATATAAATGATAATTTTTCTATAGCTATTGAAAAAATGAAGCTTTATTTGTTTCTTAAGATGGAAAGAGGAGGGTGGTACAGAGACAGAGAATGAAATGCCACAATGAATGCATTAACAAGGCCGGTGGTGGGTGCGTGTTTGTGTGTGTGAGCGTGCTTGCGTGCGTGCGTGCGAGCGAGAGAGAGAGAGAGAGAGAGAGAGAGAGAGAGAGAAGATGTATGAGTCACAGACAAAAAGAAAGATAGCGAGGATATTTGTGTGTGAATGAGAGGGAGAGCGAGGTCGTGTTCACAGTGAGTGAGTGAAAATAGAAAAAGAATTGTATGGTGACAAGTAGGTTGAGAAAGGGTAAGACAGAGAGTGGGGGGGGGGGGGGGTAGAATGGACGTG